TAAAACAAGGAACTAAATCAAACTAAACCAGGACAAAACCAGGATAAAACCAGGGACTAAACCAGGGACTAAATCAAGACTACAACCAGAACTAAACCCAGACTAAAACCAGAACTACAACCAAAATTAGATCAAACTAAACCAAGCCAAAAACCAGGACTAAACCAGACACAAACCAGGACCAAACCAAGTCTGCAACTAGAACTAAATCAAAACCAGTAACAAAACCAGACACAAACTAAACCAGGACTATAATCTGGACAAACTAAAATCAGGACTAAACCAGGTCTGCAACAAGAACTAAATCAAACTAAACCAGGACAAAACCCCGACAAAACCAGGATAAAACCAGGGACTAAATCAAGACTACAACCAGAATTAAACCAGGACTAAACCAGGACTATAACCTGGACAAATCCTGGGACTAAAATCAGGACTAAACCAGGTCTGCAACCAGAACTAAATTAAACTAAACCAGAACTACAACCAGAACTAAACCAGGTCCAAAAGTAAGATGAAAACAACCTCTAAACCAGGTCTAACCCCGGACTCTACTCGAGTACTCACTTGGACAGGGACACGCCGCCGGCCTTCCCGATGAGCTCCTCGTGATGCAGAAACCGCGTCGTTCCAGGGAATCTCCAGGAACTTGAGCAAAGTCCTCATCCACTTCTCCGGGTGCAGGACGAGCTGCTCGTAATGCACCGGCAGACACTTGTCGGACACGTCCAGACACTGCGTGTACATCGTCTCTATGGCGCGATTCCATTTGGTCAGACAGTCCCGGTAACTCCCCAAGTCGAACCCCGCGATCGTCACTTTCCGGGAGATCATGGAATGCACGGACGCCCTCCCGTCGCGGATCATGAGCACGAACTTCGCCTTTGGAAAAATTTTGGCTAAATACGACAGCGACTTCAGCGCGAACGGGTCCTTGTTGCACAGGAAGTTCGCCGGTTCTCCGTGTTTGACGATTATCTCCAGCAAAAACGCTTGCATGGCGGCGTCCAGAACCTCGTCCGTCACGCCCGCCTCGTCCAGTCGCATTTTCTCCCTCCCCGACCGGCTCCACATCTGCTTCATCGCCAAAATCCGCGGGATGACTCTGGTCTCTTCCCCGCAGCGGATCTCGGGGTGCGCGTCCAGCATGGCGCGCATCAGCGTCGTCCCGCTCCTCGGCACTCCTCCGATGAACACCAGGGGCATGTCCTTTGCTGTAGAGGAACGGCGTGCTGAGGTTCTGGCCCGTCCGCAACGTGGTCCGCATGCTGCCCCCGACGGCGGACAGCGGGATGGCGACGCCGCTCTGGCCGCGTTCCTCGATCCTGTGGTGGCACTCCATGGCGTGACGTCCCAGGTAGAAGACGGTGACGGAGCTGATGACCAGGCAGGCGACGAGGAGGTTCTGCTTGAGTTTCCCGATCATGCTGACGGACATTGTACGGAGGAGGCGGAAGAGGGAGCGGGGAGGCCCGGGGTCAGGGGCGGCGGAGGCGGAGGTACCCAGGAATCAGCGCTGTTGGCCGGGGCGCGGACATGGATCAGGCCCCTCGACGCTCCGGCGGAGGACGGACCACCGCTCCATCGGGTCTAGAAACAAAAAAAGTTAAGTTAGAGACTCGACAAATCACACTTTTTAACTAAATTTTTCTGTGTTAATGTTATTCCTTTGTCTGGAATGTTCCAGAGTGCGGCATTAAACCTTTCCATCTTCAAACCAGACCAAGTTACAGGTCAGATCTGTGGAGAGGCGACCCCGCTAACAATCAGAATGTCTGTTTTTCTTTGTATTTTTGAGCTTTAAAACCACCTGTAATTGAATAAATGTAAAGTCGAGCTGTTTAATGTCTCACTGCGGAACATTCCAGGCAGAGCGACGACGTCTCCATAGAAACAAGCACAGAAAATTTTCCTCCATCGGAAAAGTTACACAGTGCACCTTTAATAATAAAAGATGAACCTGGCTTGCAATTTTAATCCTCCATGGAAATAGTTTTGATGTCATTTCCATAAAAATACGCAGGACGAGTAAGAGTCGGGTTTGTGGAGATGCGAGCCTCATCACAGTAAAAGAGTGTTTTTTTACATTTTTTTAGTGACATAAACACATCCAAACCTACAAAAACACACTTTAAAAATACAAAGTTTCAGACTGTGGCTCAGTCTCTCCTCTACGTTTCCAAAGCACATGTTTTTAAATGTAAAAATACCATTAAAATATCATTAATATAACATTAAAAAAACAAAAAGCTCAGTTAAAATTGATAGCCCCAGTATTGAAAGATGAGCTGGACAACACCGTCTGGAGACTTTACAACCACCAGGGATTAGGTTTTTTTTTCGTCTTAAAACATAACAAAACTGAACTGATATCGTGACCCGTGTATCGAGACACGTATCGATACACAGTATCTGTGCATCCCCAATCCATGTGTCGCTCGTTCATTCATTTTTCAATATAAAACAAAAAATAAGAAAATGAAAAAAACAACAGTTTTCTTCATTATTTGTCTCCAAAACCAAAATGAAAAAACAGATAATGATTTGTTTTTTCAGTTTTTGATTTTGTGTTTAAATGAAAAATGGAAAAAAACGGATAATGGCCATTTAAGTGACTCCTGTGACTGTCATGTCGGAGTTTTGCACTGCATATGGACTGAACCAGGACTGGTCCAGGTCCGGGACCAGACCGGGACTAGACCGGACTCCAAGCTTTGACTCCGACCCTGCCGTGGGCTCTGAGCCTCCGGTCTCCCGGTCTGGTCCCGGTCTGATCCCGGTCTCAGTCCCGGTCTGGTCCCAGACCTGGATCAGTCCTGGTTCAGTCCGTATGCAGGTGCAAAAGTTCGTCATCACAGGTCACAGGAAGTCACGTTAAACAGGAAACGGTCCGTTATCCGTTTTTTTTCCATTTTTCATTTAAACACAAAATCGAAAACTGAGAAAACAAATCATTATCTGTTTTTTCATTTTGGTTTTGGAGACAAATAATGAAGAAAACTTGTTTTTTTGTTTTATATTGAAAAACGAATGAACGAACGACACACGGACTCTACAACCACTCGCCGACTCTACAGAACCCACGGACTAAACCAGGACTAAACCAGACTAAACCAGGACTAAACCAAAAAACCAAGACTAAACCAAGACTAAACAGGTAAACTCAGGAAAACCAGGACTAAACAGGACTAAACCAGGACTAAACCAGGACTAAACCAGGACTAAACCAGGACTAAACCAGGACTAAAACAGATTTAACTGCACTAAACCATGCTGCGTGGACCGTGTCTCCTCGTCTTCTATCAATAATATTTTTAATTTGGTTCAGTAAAGTTTGGGCTTTTTATTTTAAGCAAACAAAACATCTTATGTGAAGATTTCCGAGTCTTTGTTTCTCTACAGCAAATCAAGTAATCCAAAGTATTCAGATTACATTACTCACTTTAAGTAACTTTATGGATTCTGTTACAAACTACATTTTGGTGTATGTAATCGTGTAATCTGTAATCTGTAGGGGATTACATTGCAACACTGGCGGCGTCGCTGCGGTCGGGCGGCCGGACCGTTAAACACTCGCTATAGAAATGTACAGAAAGAAAAGAAAGAGGAAGTGCACTTTTCTGCGGTGGAGAAAAGAAACGGTCGCGAAGCCTGAGCCGTGTGTTTGAGGAAGTTTAAATTACAGCTTACGACAAGTGTCCGACAAACGTACGCGAGCCACACAAGAGGAGAGTCTGACGCTCCTCTGCCCCTGCTTTCTCTCAAATGTCCCACAGTGCGGCATTAAACCTTTCTGTCTTCACGGAAACCAAACCAGATGGAGCTACAGGTCAGATCTGTGGAGAGGCGACCCCGCTCACAGTCAGAATGTCTGTTTTTCCAAGTATTTTTGAGCTGTAAAACCACTTCTAATTGAATAAATGTAAAGTTGAGCTGTTTAAAGTCACACTGCGGAACATTCCAGGCAGAGCGGTGACGTATCCATAGAAACAAGCAGGTGACGGACCCTCTATCGGAAAAGTTTCACAATGCACCTTTAACGAATAAATAATAAAAATGGCTTTCAGTGTTAATTTCTCCATGGACATAGATCTGATGTCAGCGGGACGAGGAAGAGTCGGGTTTGTGGAGATGCGAGTCTCATCACAGTAAAAGAGTGTTTTTATACATTTTTTCGGTGACAGAAACACATCCAAACCTACAAAAACACACTTTAAAATACAGTGTTACTGTGACTGGCTCACACAAGTCTCCAAACCACGTTTTTAACTTTAAAAATAGCATTAAAATATAATTAAAATATGTTTAAAAATACCATTAAAATACATTTTAAATTACCAATAAAATACGTTTAAAAACACCAATAAAATACAATTAAAAAGCATTTTAAAATATCATTAAAATATGTTTAAAAATACCATTAAAATGCATTTTAAATTACCAATAAAATACCATTAAAATACGTTTAAAAATACCAAAAAATACATTTAAAAATACCATTTAAAATATGTTTAAAAAATATCATTAAAATACATTTTAAAATACCATTAAAATCTGTTTAAAAATACCAATAAAAATACAATTAAAATACGTTTAAAAATACCATTAAAATAAATTTAAAATTACATTAAAATAGCAATAAATATAACATTAAAAACACCAAAGCTTGATTAAAATTAGTGATGCACCGATACCAAAACTGGTTTGAATATCAGCGCCAGGAATGAAAAATTAGCTGAACCTCTGCTGACCCTCTGACCCTCTGCTCGTTTCCTCGCTGTATTTCTCGTTCCTCTCTCGTCTTTGGCTCTGCTCCTCTGACCCTCTTCTCTTCTTCTCCTCGTTTCTTTTCTGTATTTCTCGTTCTCCTCTGGTCTTTGGCTCTTGTCCTCACGCAGCCTCTAAACATGACGAAACACAGACTCCCTCAGATCTGCACCGAGAGATAAGAAACAGGACTGGACCCGGACTGAAGCAGGACTGAAGCAGGACTGAAGCAAGACTGAAGCAGAGACCCCAGAACGAACCCGGACTGAACCCGGACTGAACCCGGACTGAACCTAGACTAAAGCAGGACTGAACCAGACTAAAGCAGGACTGAAGCAGACTAAAGCAGGACTGAAGCAGGACTGAAGCAGGACTGAACCGGACTGAACCGAACCCGGACTGAACCCGGACTGAACCAGACTGAACCTAGACTAAAGCAGGACTGAACCAGGACTAAAGCAGGACTGAAGCAGGACTGAAGCAGGACTGAACCCGGACTGAACCCGGACTGAACCCGGACTGAACCCGACTGAACCCGGACTGAACCTAGACTAAAGCAGACTGAACCAGGACTAAAGCAGGACTGAAGCAGGACTGAAGCAGGACTGAACCCAGGACTGAACCCGGACTGAACCCGGACTGAACCAGGACTGAACCCGGACTGAACCCGGACTGAACCAGGACTGAACTGAAATAGGACAGAACCGAGACTGAACCCGACTAAAGCAGGACTAAACCAGAACTGGACCTGGACTAAAGCAGTACTGAAACAGGACTGAACCCAAACTAAAGCTGGACTGAAGTAGGACCGGACCTAAGACTGAACCCAGGACTAAAGCAGGACTAAAGCAGGACTAAAGCAGGACTAAAGCAGGACTGAACCAGGACTAGACCTGGACTAAAGCAGGACTGAACCAGGACTAGACCTGGACTAAAGCAGGACTAAAGCAGGACTAAAGCAGGACTAAAGCAGGACTGAACCCAGGACTAAACCAGGGACTAAACCAGGACTAAACCAGGACTCAGTATAATAAAATCGTCCCATGTTTAAATCAGTTCTTGCAACATGGACTTTTCAGAACTTTTAACCACGTGATTCGAGCGTGTTTGAATTTTCTTTAATCGTTTATTTTTCCAAACATAATTTTGTTGTGCTGACGTTTACGGCGCCGTCAGCAGCTCCCGCTTGGACGCCGCAGTTTTCTAACGCACAAACTGACAAACTTATTTCTTTTATTAAATCATTTTAGATCAATACTGCGATTAAAAATGATAATTATAAACACATATAATTATCAAAGTGTTATATGTGTGTTTTTGTTTACGTTTTCGTAACCTCGTATGTTCTTGTATCAGTTGCAGCCGCCTGTTCTACTTCCTCTTCACACATCCTCAAGCAAACACACACTCACTGCCCCTTGCCCTTGAGCAAACACCTCGAGCCATAAACTCGTCCGCAACCTTTTGCAAAAAACCACAACGTTGGCTCACAGCGTTAGTCAAACAGCGCTAAAAGACACAGACAAAGACACAAACAAATACGTCACTCCCCGACTCAGATGGTTCGTCACTACGGCAACACACATACTGCAAAAAAAAACACAAGTAATCTGCTGTTTTTCTCTTTGTATTAAATCTTTAAATGTGTTTATTTTAAGTTAAATATAAGCCCAAAGATCATGATAAAGCTGCGTTAAAAGTGTGAAAATGTGTGACTTTTTGGTTGGTAATATTTAGTTTCTAATCACTAATCACTCATCACTAATTCTCTCTCTCTCTCTCTCTCTCTCTCGGCACATTTATCAATCTAGTCTATTTTCAAA